CATCCCAAGACTTGGGATGAGAGCTGGACTATGGTGCACATGTTGAGGGGGTATAATTCCAGGCATCCCAAGACTTGGGATGAGAGCTTACCATATCTTCAGTTTGAGGGGGTATAATTCCAGGCATCCCAAGACTTGGGATGAGAGCTTACCATATCTTCAGTTTGCATTCAATCGGGCTATTCATGGATCTTTAGGAAAGTTCCCATTTAAGACATGCTACGGATTCTTACCGCCAAGTCCGTTCAATCTCGTGTTTTCTAGTGAAGCTACATCTGACAATAAGGAAGGGAGTGAAAGACAACGGGCTCAATGATTTTTGGAGAAGACTGCACATATTCACGCTACGGTTGAAGCTTAATTGAAGAATTCACAAGCTAAATATAAGGAGAATCATGATCAATATCAAATTCCTTGTAACTTTGGCAAAGGTGACATGGTGTGATTGAAGTTGAGTAAGGAGCAGATAAAGGGAGAAGGGAAGAAGTTGAAGCCTATACGATATAGTCCATTTCGGATTATTGATCAGATCTGTGACAACGCCTTCAAGCTAGATTTGCCACCTTACTTAGGCATGTATTCAGTGATTAATGCTGAGTACTTGAAGTTGTTTGAGCATCTATTGTTGGACGATGAGGGTGACGACAAAGTGATCTTATCGCACATTAAAGACTTGTGGTTTGATAGAGAAGAGCCGCTGAAAGAGGATTGTATTTTGGAGCGGAAGGTGACTACGACGAGACACGAGACGAATGAGTCATTTCTGATCGGACGTCAAGGTTAGGTTCCTAGCAAAGCCAAGTGGTTCGATAGGGAAGGAGGGACTTGCGAGTTCCCTCAACTAAAGTTCTAACTTGAATGAGACTTCAAGTTCCTAAAGGGGGAGCCATGATACGAGTGTATCATCTTATCCGCTTTGGGAGCTTAGCGATCCTCATGGGAGCTTGAGGCTAGATGATTCTCATGATATCTTGATAATAGAGGCGTGGATGAAGCTGTTGGTGGCGGCGAAAGAAGCCAAAAAAAGCAAGAAGACAACAAAATCAGGGAACTGATGCTCAGGCTCTGGCCAATCGACCGGACCAAGTTGGCCGGTCGACCGGATTCGTGCACACTACAGGGTGAGGAATGAGTCCTCTGGTCAATCAACCATGACACATTGGTCGGTCGACCGGATGTGGTTCTGACTATAGGGTGAGAAATCATCTCTCTGGCCGGTCGAACGGATCAATTGGGTCGGTCAACCGGATCGGGTTTCCTGAGTTATCTGGGACTCTTTTTGACGTGTTTTCCTAGTTTGTTTGTACTTGTTTATTTAGAAGATTGACATCCACATTGTTAGGGATATAAATATGATTGTTTTAGGGTTTTTAAGGAATCATATGATATTCAAAGAGAATAGAGAGATTATTCTTTATTCTAGTAAAATTGTGAGAGAAAGATTTGTAATTTTTTATTACTCATAATCTAGAAAATGTATTTTCCTTCGCCAACTGAATTGTTCTTGTGTTTTCTATTGTTTTCTTCGCAATCCACCTTTGATAATTCCATGATCAAAGGTACTCACATGGCGACTCGTATCAGCCATGGCATCAAAAATAACCTTGCTCCATTTTACGTCAAGGTTTCCTAAAATGGCATAAACCGCACTAGTCAACTCTTGAGAGAAATGATCATAACTCCCAGTCTTGGGAATTATGTTATAAGAAATGATACGAGCAATGATTCTCCTAAAAGGAGAGACTGAGCTATTAATAAAGGAAACCGTTTTTTGGGAAGAAGGATTAGAGAATCAACATTATCATCAACATAGTCTACATCCTTCAGGACAGTGTACCGAAAAGGAATACCAAGAATCCCAGCTAATTAATGGGCAGTAAAAATAATATGATGATTCTTGACAAGAGAGGTAATGAAAGGGGTATCTACATCAGTTAGTTGTAAATTTGTATAAAATAGACGTACAAGATTTGGATAATATGGAAGATGATTATTTTGAGAGAGCAAATCATGTAGTCTAGCATCATTAAAATATGTATGCAACTGAAAATGAGCAAAATCTTCAAACTTGTAGTCTAGCATCATTAAAATATGTATGCAACTGAAAATGAGCAAAATCTTCAAACTTAACAAATCTCCCGGGAAAGATTTTGAATTGACAATGTATGCAACTGAAAATGAGCAAAATCTTCAAACTTAACAAATCTCCCGGGAAAGATTTTGAATTGACAATAAGTATGATATTTGCTAATTAAAGATGGATTACGAAGATATTGTTCATAATTAGCAAATTCAGTCGTGGGAGCGGGGGCGGGAGCAGGATCTAGCTCTTTTGGGAAGAGATTAAGACATGATATATAGATAAACAGGTCTTAAACGATTTTAGATAAGAAACAATCTAAGATTAACAAACCCTAGGTAATAGATCTAGATGATAAATCTTGATAATAAACCCTAGATAAACACTTAGGCAAGCAATAAACTAAAGTAAAGAGTGAGGGTAGAATTATTCTGAGCACGGAAGATGTTTAAGGAAAGAACAAGGCTCACCAATAGCAGGACTCTCTCGACTGGGGCTTATGTCGGTTGACTGGAAGAATCGGGGGCAGAGGCTAGGGCTTGGGTCAACTGAGAAGATGGAGAGAGGGTATATTTTGGGATATTCTCACATATATATAAGAGTTCAACGACCAAAATTAATACACACATGAAGTTAAAGGCTAGGATCTAAACGGGTATGAGAAACGGGTTGGGTTGAAGACAAAAAAATCTATTTGATCCTGAAATCTGTGAGCTTGTCAGTCGACTGATGCATTATCGGTCGACTGAAGGCAGTTATCGGTCGACTGATTTGTGAAATCAGTCGACTGATGACATGAAACACAGACTTATAAATAATGTGAACTAGGGCTTTAAAAATTATAAAAATTTATTTTTATTTTGTCCAACAATGACTATACATATATGAAAATATCTTCTTTTAAAAAAAACATATGTAGTTTAATTTTTAAAGGAATTTAATCAATTTTATTGTTGTAAAAAAACATGAAACCAAAATCAACAAATTAAAGTTCAAAAATTAAAAATAAAAAATGAACAAAATCAAACTTGTTTTGGCACCCAAATATTTTTTGTGCCGGAAGATTTAGGGACATGACCCCTATCATTAAACAGTGGTAAGTAAACTATAAACAAATACAAACAATATAATGGATAAATTAGACAATGAGAGAATGACGATAGAGATAAACAAAATATAAGTGCACAAGCCAAACTCAAATACACAAGAAATGATCACAGAGTTCGAACCTTCCGTCCTACATCTCCGTTCCCTACTCCCAAGGAGAAATCCACTATCACACCGGGTTTTTAACACTCACCCGAAAATGTTACACCACACAATATCGGTTTTCAACGCTCACCGATCAACGTTCACAATCACTCACAATGTAACTACACAAATCCCACCTCAAGTGTTGGCCTCTCACGTGCCTCCCTCAAGTTTTCGGAATTACGACCTACCTCTAGGCATTACCGCCGACCCCACTCCTCTTGGGACCAACCACGTCTCTCACAACACACTGCTCTCGGTGTACAAGTGTACTACAAAATGTAACTCATAAATTAACGCTCAACAATAAATAATTATTCTCTAAACAATGTGAGAACTCAATTAAGCTCAACTCAATGTTACAAACCCACAACACCAAATTATACTATGTATGAAATACTATAAGCTCAATAGGTTGTGTGTGAACAATGAGTATAATCAAAACAAACTAAACTCAAAGTAAATCTACCTTATGGAAATTATAATCAAAATAATAAATAGCTAGAATATGTATAGGAAAACTTCTCTATGATGACAAGAGAGAGAGAGAGAGATGAGTTAAATGCCCAAACACCAAAGAATGATCTCCTCAAATTCTTGTGAAAATTTCTTCACAAACAAACTCTTAAACAAACTTAAAAACACTTAAACAAATTTATAAAGCTCTTTTAAAATTTTTCTCTTATATATTTTAGGTCTGAGGTATGAGGGGTATATATAGGAAACCCCAAAGCTAAGAAGAAACCAAGAAAACCTAGCAAAAAGACAAAAAATAAAAAGCTGAAAAAACTAATCGTTGGACCGTCAGTCGTCTGGTAATGTTCATCAGTCGACTGATGAGCTGATCGTTAGATTCAGCCCAACACCTCATCGGTCGACTAATAACCTCATCAGTCGACTGATAACTTATCAGTCGTAAAAATAAAAACTTGTATAATTCCAGACGAGTTCATCAGTCGACTGATAAACTCCATCAGTCGACTGATAACAAGTTATCATCTTGATTAATCTAGTAAATCTGATTTTTGAAGTGCCTTTAAAAATAGTAAATAAATTCTAAAAATTTTAAAACATTAGAAAATGATTATAAACATGATAATAAACATGTTACAAAATGAATTTTTAGAATTGCACTTCATATTTGTGAAAACTCATCATTTTGTAAAAATGACCAAAACATGAAAAGTTGATAGACATGAAATTTGATGTTTTGACATAAACCAAGTTTTGAAACTTTGTAAAATGATTTTATAGACGTAATAAAATATGTATATAGTGATTGTTAAGTCCATAAACCAATAACTCAATATTTTTCCAAATACAATAGAATATGAAACAAGCAAATGTGTATATGAATATATATCTGTTTCATATCTACATAACTAAACCAAAACAACTTAACCATATGAAAATAAACATGTATATATATATATATATATTTGTTTCATATTTAAACTTGATTTCCCAAAATATCGGGGAATAGAAACGTGAACAAGCCCGAGACATATTAGATTAAGGAGAATAAATAAAATAAAATTCCTCCTCAACCTAATACGCAGAGCGTCAAGAAATAAATGCAAAGGTAGAGGTCCCCGGTCACAGTTAGCAAGAATATAATAAACAAACTCAGAACAAAATATTTATATCATAAAAGAAATATCATCCAAGACATAAAGTATTCAGGTCAACACACCCTTATACATATCTGAACAAATGAATACTGAAGAAATATGAAATACATTGTTCAACAGAATAGAAGAGAAAAGACTACAAAAACAACTAGGATCATCAAATAAAACGAGATATTGAACTTCGACCTATTCTTCAACTCTATCTGCAAGGCAAGCCTGCTGAGAATACTCTAGTTCTGGCACATCTCTAAGCTGGACATGTTCTTCCTCTAAGTCTGACGTACACCAGAGAAAACAGGTGTACGTCAGCGTGCATGGCACACGGAAAGACCCCATAAAAGAAAAGAACGAACGAAAACCAAATGCGAAAACGATACAACAGAAATGACAAATAACATACAACTGGAAATCCAACAAAAACAACCAAGTAACTAGTCGATCATGCAGCTAATAGTCAGAATAATCATCCAAGTAACAGGGTCATACAATCAGATGGAATTAATACTTAAAAAATCTACATCAAGAGACGTAGTATGTCGAGCGAAATAATCCAAACAAGGAAACATTCATGTATATATCATATGTCTCAAATTGTAGATAATTAAATATTAATCCTGATCTATGTATGAAAAGAAATGTATATATCATATGTCTCAAATTGTAGATAATTAAATATTAATCCTGATCTATGTATGAAAAGAAATACAACTGGTATCATATGTCTCAAATTGTAGATAATTAAATATTAATCCTGATCTATGTATGAAAAGAAATACAACTGGCATACATCTCACAAGAATCCATAATCACCTTAGTAACAAGGTCATGTAACTAGTCATTCTATAACAGGTCAATGGTCCATATCTCACACAGAGTCAACGCTCATATCATCGGATAACTAACTGTTCACAAATCCCCTACGTGCATCCAATATCGCTACACAAACGCGGTTAGAGGACTACACGTAATCCGTTTTCAGCCTGGTTCGGACTCAAGCTAAACTCGGGTGAATATCAAATTCATGGACCAAAGTGACTACACAAACTTCACTTTGACCCAACAAACCAACCCCAGTGCTACAAACTCACTGGTGCGAGCCTGGAAGATACATCAACAGCCTTATCTGATCACATGAACCATGACTTCCCCATCCCAACTCTTCTCATTTTCTAAGTCAAACGTAATCCACTCTATCTCTAGTTCACCACCTAAATTCAGTCAATGCACCCACACATGTCACTAGGTCTGTTCATGACACACGAGGCCACTAAGTCATGAACTACTAAGGTTCTCAAACACAACAAGGAGATAATAATAACACTAATTTCACATAACCATATCATGACATGTCAAATACAGTAAAATATTCACAAAACATGAAATGTAATCATAAACAACAACTATGTAATTCAGAAAATAATTCCTTTTCAAAAATAAATTTTTTAAAAATTATTTCTCATTATAATAATCCAAAATATTCTCTTTTCCAGAATAAATTCTTTAAAATTATTTCTCATCAATTATTATTCTAAAATAATTCCTTTTCTCAAAAAAAATTCTTTTTAAATATTATAAATTCTCTAAAATGATTCTGTTATCAAAATATATTCTTTCACTTCATTATCATTATTCCAAAAATACTATTTATCACACAACTATGATTTAAATCAATATTATTCACTAAATAACTCACGCAGATAAATACGTCACAAATAAACTATGCAAATAATTCATAATAAATATAAATATTCAAACTACAAAACAGGGAGAGCGGGATCTTACCTCGGGGTTTTGTCAAATGAATCGACGCTGACGACGCGGGTCAGATCTGATGCTGTGGAGCGCGACATCAGAGGGAACTCTGGCGAGGGGAGAGCCGATCTCCCTCTCTCATCTCTGTTCAACGAACAATCCCACTACTCCTGACGTGCAACCTCCTCCTCCGTCTCACGTCCCGCTCGACCACCACCAGCTCCGGCCCTCCAGGACCCTCCCCGTCTGAGCTCCAGATCCCCCGCCATCCCCCTCTTCTCTCAACCACGAGCACGACACCCCACCTCAAACGCCCTGCTCGCCGCTTCCACCTCGCGATCCGAGCCACCACCGCTAGCCTCCTCTCAGGCCCGAAATTCTCAGATACGACGACACAGCTCGCTCCGACCTCCTCTCCACGTCCCATCGCCCTCCAACCTCAGGCGTGCGACCACCCATCCTTCCACCCGAAGCCCGCCTGCCCACACCCTAAGGCCATCCCTTGGCGAATCGCTCCCCCTTGCAGCACATTCCAGCCCGCGTTCACAGCCACACTTCTCCCCTCGCAGATTCCCATGCTAGAGCTGTCGGCGGCTCACAGCATCAGATCTGCCCGCGTCGTCGCGTCGATTCATTTGAAGAAACCCGAGGTAAGTCCCGCTCTCGCCTGTTTATGTTCAGTTTGAATATTTATATATTTTTATGAATTATTTGCTAGTTATTGTGACTATTTTCCTGCGGGTATTTAGTGAATAATATTGATTTAATCATAGTTGTGTGATAAATTAGTATTTTTGGATAATGATAATGAAGTGAAGAATATATTGTTGAATAACAGAATCATTTTAGAGAGTTTATAATATTTAAAGGAATTCTTTTGAGAAAGGAATTATTTTAGATAATAATTGAAGAGAAATAATTTTAAAGAATTTCTTCTGGAAAAAGAGAATATTTTTGGATTATTATAATGAGAATAATTTTTAAAAATTTATTTTGAAAAGGATTTATTTTTCTGAATATACTAGTTGTTGTTTATGATTACATTCAGTGTTTTGCTGAATGATTTTACTGGTAATTTGACATGTCGATGATATGGTTTGGTGAAATTGTGTTATTCTAGTTATCTCCTTGTTGAGTTTGGAACCTAGTAGGTTCATGACTTGGAGTCGGCCCGTGTGCATGACAGACCTAGTGCACTGTCGTGGGTGCATTGATCTGAATTTAGGTGTGAATAGAGATAGAGTGGATTAGTTTGATTAGAAATATGAGATTGGAGTGTGGGATGGGGGAGTTCATGAGTGAGTATCATGTTGATCAGATAAGGCTGTTTGATGTATCTTCCAGCTTTTGTGAGTTTAGTTTTGTTTTGGTTTTTATATTTGTGAAAGTTTCTATCCTTGTCCATGAAATTTGACTTTCACCCGAGTTTAGCTTGATTTTCCAGGATGAACACGGATTAGTTTTTATTTTTTTTTAATGGGGTTTGTGACGTTATGTTTTTTCTTTGTCTTATCCACTTTGATTCTTTATAGAGATGGACGTAGCTTATATGACCTTGTTAGCTAGGTGGCATTATGGGATTCTGGTGAGATGTATGCAGGTTGTATTTCTTTTATCATAGATCAGGATTAATATTTAATTATCTACAATTTGAGACATATGTGTATATACATAATCGTTTCCGCTGTGTTTGGATTATTTCGCTCGACTTACTACGTCTCTTGATGTAGATTTTTAAGTATTAATTCCATCTGATTGGTATCGACCCTGTTACTTTGACGATTTATTCTGAGCTATTAGCTGATGATGCTGTTACTTGGTTGTTTTTGTTGGGATTTCCATTGGTATGTTATTCTGTATTTGAATGTTGTATGCGTTTTCGCTTGTTTTCGTTGTTCTTTTCTTTTATGGGTCTTTCCGTGTGCATGCACGGACGTACACCTGTTTCTCTGGGTGTACGTCGACTTAGGAGGCAAGGAACATGTCCATTGGATGTGCCAGAACTAGAGTATTCGCTCAGCGCTTGCCTTGCACGATAAGAGTTGAAGAATAGGTCGAAGTTCAATATCTCTTTTATTGGACTGATGCTAGGTTGTTGTTTTGTAGCTGTTTCTCTTCTATTGCTGTTGAGACGAACTGTGTTGTCATTATTTCTTCGGTATTCATTATGTTCAGATTGGTAGTAAGGGTGTGTTTGAGCCAGGAGAAGTACAGTTATGTCTTGGATGATTTCTTGTTGATGATAGGTAAATATTTTGTTCTGAGTTTTGTTATTATATTGCTTGCTAACTGTGAACCGGGGCCCATACCTTTGCATTTATTTCTGGACGCTCTCGTATGTGGTTGAGGGAGAAATTTTATTTTTATTAGTTTCTCACTTAGTCGTATATGTCTCGGGCTTGTTCACGTTCTATTCCGTAATATTTTGGGAAATGGGGCATGGATATGATCACTTATATTAATTATATATATTTAATATCTTATAAGAATAAATATCATAGTATTTGATAGTATATTCTTTTTACTGATTTTTTTTAACAGTACTACGTATAGAGAAGGAAGTTGGAGAGGAGAGAGACACATTTTCGTTTTTTTTTATAATGATCTATATATATTTTATATATTTCTAGTTTTTTTATATTATTTATACTTTTGGTATAGTATAATTTTTAGTATACTAGTATATACATTGTATTTTCATATGGTTAGTTTTTGGTGTTATTGATATGAAAAGAGCCTTTTTTATACTTCACTTACACTGTTTTTTAGTTGTGATTTGGAAAATCTTGAGTTATTGGTTTATGGCTTAACAATCACTTTTTTCCTTACAGTATCTTATGTACGCTATAAAATTTAAACGTTTCAAACCTTGGTTTATGTCAAAAATCAAATTTCATGTCTATCACTTTCATGCGTTGGTCCATTCTTACAAATGATGAGTTCTTCCACACAATATGAAGTGGCAATTCTAAAAATTCTTTTGGTAACATGTTTTTATCATGTTATAACTTTTCTAATGTTTTATTTTTTAGGATTTATTTACTATTTTGAAGGACTTCAATCAGATTTATAGATTATCAAGATATAACTTGTTTCGAGTCGACTGATGGGTTTATCAGTGACTGATAGAACTCGCTTGGAATTTAGCAAGTTTTATCTTCTTTAGCTGATAAGTTATCGAGTCGACTTGGATGAGGTATTAGTCGGAACCGATGAGGTGTTGGCTGAATGCTAACGATCACCTCATCAGTGTCGACCTGCATGGCACATTACCAGCGGCTGACGGACTGTCCCGTTAGTTTTTCAGCTTTTTGGATTTTTGTCTTTTTGCTAGGTTTTCTTGTGGTCTCTTAGCTGTGGGGGTTGTACCGGCTAATATATACCCCTCGTATCGCATGACCTAAGCGATGAGTCTAAGAGAAAAATGTTTAAAGAGCTTTATAATTTGTTTAAGTGGTTTTTAATTTGTTTAAGAGTGTTGTTTTGTTGTAAAGAATTTTTACAAGAATTGAGTGAG